GTGAACTTAAAGAATGAATTGCTTCTAAACCGGCTGCATGAAGTCACGTGATTGATACTTGATCACGTATTTTTTAATTGAATTATAACAACTATTTTTCTATCTTTAATCAAAAAATAAAAATAAAAAATAAATAGTAAAAACAAGTCACTCTTATTCCTACCCCCACCCATACTCTCCTGGCCCGTGGCAAGGAGGGAATTTGGAGCACCATGTGAACGAAAATGACTAAACCATAAAGTGGCTCTCTTGCATATTTGATTAGACTAAGCTATCGAAAAATCATGTTTGCCAACTTGTGAAAACTTTTTAAGACATAGTAAAACATTACTACTAGAAAAGCAGTGGTCAACAATATGATTTAGGTAAAAAGATGATGTAATTGTATGAGTTATCTTTCGGCTCTCCGACTGTGCCAAATGTTTTATTGGAAGCTTTAAGGATGCATTTGAAACGTTAAATTACACAATATCAAATTAGATTAACAAAACCCTTTAAAATAAATATAATAATTGTCGTATCTAATTCAATGTATTAAACATATAGAAATTTTTTAATTCTCCAGATCCTAAACATATAAATTTCGAGGCAATCACAATCCATTAAAATGCTTCAAATTTATTCCATGGTTAACAAAATAAAACAGTTCCATTCAAGCTCATCACGTCCATGAAAAATCCTTTCTCCAAGCTATTTCATCACTACTGAAGTAAAAACCGTCTTCTTTCACCAGCCAAAAGCACTGCCTATATTTTTCACATCTATATCTGTCACGGGTTTCCCGAAATGCTTCAAATTTTTTCCTTTTGCCATCCCATTTGATGGTACAGAAAAACAGTGGGGTTTTCCATAAGCCAGATTTGACACTCCAGCTGAAGTCATCGCGCTCCTGCAGCGCCCGTCCACCAATATCGCCGCCATATTCCGACTCGCACCAGATGATCAGTGGCAAGGATGAGTTGTTGCTGAAACCATTGATGATACGAACATCGTAGCTTTCGCTTTCAAAATCATTCTGTTTTAGTGAAATGAATGTTGCGTATGATGCAAGGCCGAGGATGAGTAATAACATGCATTTCTTCATTTCAGAGGTTCTTTAAGGAATTT